AATTTTTTTTTGAAATATGAACTATTTTTGAAAACGTCGTTCATATGCTTAGATGGGTCTGATAGATAAATTTTATAATATAAAGCATATTTATACTAGATTATAATGTGATATTATGGTAGTAATATTACACTAATTACAAAACAAATGCCTTGTGTTTAGACTAATCTATTTAAAGACTTAAGTAAAGGTTATGCCTACTTACTTAATAATATGCTCTTTATATAATAAGCTATATAAAATTTATATTACATTAATATTATAATAATTGCAAAACACATGCCTTGTGTTCGGACTAATCTATTTAAAGATTATAGGTTTTGCGTACTTACTTAAGAATAAGCTCTATATAATATATAAATTTATATTAAATCGAAACTACTGGCATATACAAATAGAAGTTGATAATAAAGTCTTACAAAGTAAGGTAATAGTAGTTATTGGAAACCCATTATTATAAGCAAATATACCATAAGGAGTAAAAAAGAAAGATTGCAGTGTAGCAATCTATAATCTATTGAGTATAATTATTGATTAGGTTTGCTTTATATTTCATTATTTTATATAATCAGTTCTTAATTAATTATATAGATGGAATATGAACACTTTCCAACTCATTATTTCATATGATGTATAATTAATTAATTATGTAAATGATTAGACCTGAATTAATGGTATCAAATGTAAACTTATTTCTGTTGACCTGAAAGAATTATCACTTAAAGTCCTGTTCTTGAATGCTGTTATTTTCAATACTCCATTACCGAAGAATTACCGATTCTATTCCAAAATTTTACTTTTTATAAACTAAATACTGATTAAGTTTTTAACTTTCAGATTATAGTTTTTAAACTATATTATTTTAACTTCAACAATATAGATATGATTTTTGGGCTTATTAATATAATGATAAGGCCTAACTACTTTTCATATTGATACTACAATTTATACAATTTAATATTATTAAAATAAATTGTACATTTTTAATTTTTTATTTTGTTATTTTGATTCTTTGAATTTACATTTTAAAATTTTCTACATAATTATTTTTTTATAGCTTATTTTTTATGAATTTCTCTATATAAAAATTTTTTTTTTATTTTATTTCATAACTAATATTTTATTTATATATACTTTATTTCTGTATAATGGGTTGTATCCATCATGAGTTATTTTGTTCTTTTCTTTTATATTTCTACTTTATTTTTTTAATAATTTTTTTTTATGATTTTTTATATAACTGAATTTTATTGATATTTTTAAATAATTTGTGTTTTTTACGATTTTTTATATAATATATATTTTAATGATTTTATTATATAAAAGTTTTTTAAAATAGTTTTTTATATAATTTATTTTTATGACTTTTATATATATTTTTTCAATGGTTTCATTAATTTTTAATTATTTTTATAATATAATATTCCATTTATGTTTATTATATATATATATTTATTTATATTATTATTTGTAAATGTTAATTTATATATATTTATTTATATATTTTACTTATATATTTCTATTTATATATATTTTATTTATATATTTTATTATATGTTTTATTTATATATATTTTATTTATATATATATTTTTATATTTATATTATTTATGTATGTTTTATTTCTCTGCTATGGAATATGTCCCATGTCCCATTACTACGATGTTCGTAAAGTTTATTAGATACACATATATAGAAAGTACTTAAATATATTTATATTACTTACATTATTACTAATAAGCTTTCTGTTCATATCATTTTTTGCCTCAAAATTATGTAAGAAGAACTTATTTTTCATATTAGGTATATTTTTGTTTATATATTTAATATTTTGTATATTAAAAAAATTTTTTCTAATACTATATATTACTATATATATTACTATATTTTAATTTGACTAAAAATTAATAACAAAATTTAATGAAAATTATAGATTTAATTTTTCATCTATTAATATAGTAATATAGAAGATAATTCTTAGAGTAAACTTTAAAATATATAAACAGAAGTCTTAAATTAAAATTGTTTATTAGAAATAAAATTTTTATATAGGTATGGTATGTTTTTACAAATGTCTATAAGATTTTTCATAATATGACTTTCATGTACAATTTTTCTTTGAATGTTAAAAAAAATTGGAAGCGGTTACTTCATTTGGAAAATCATAAATTTACATAAATATTATTACTGGAAGTAAAACCTTCCAGTTTTAAAACTTTCATAAATTCTATTTTCCAGTCTCTTTGTAATTTAGTTTTTTTTTTCTGAATTAGAAACAGACTTCGAATGGAAAACCAACTGATGCTTTCGATATCGAAAAAATTGTAAACAAAAATTTTGTAAACAAAGCAAATTATGTATATAATATTGTATATGCTTTTTTATGTATATGTAATATGTAAAATATATACATATATAGTAGTATTTTTTTTGTTATAGTATATGCGGAAGAATATGCTTTTGCGTGCAATAATATCATGAATAATTAATTATGTGGGAAGTGTGTGGGGTAAAAAAGGTGGAATAAATAGTAAAGGCAGTATAAAAAAAGGGATTGCACCTGTTTTATTGCTAAATTTTATGCATACTACATATAAACTCCATTAAGGATAACGAATCCTTACGTGTACATGTTTGTAAGATATTAAAGACAATATGCTATTGGGGTTGGTGATTTATTTCCTGTTTACTTGGTTCATAGGGAGTCGTAATTAATATCACCGGGAGGACAATGTACCCTGAAAAAGTATTTAAAAAAAAAACACATGTTTGTTTACATTTTTATTATAGAACAAAACATGTAAAAATGCATTTATTATTTTTTAATGAACTTTTTATATTCTTTTTATTATGTTTACCTTATGTCTGTCCATATAAACTTTAATTTTATGTTATGTTTTCGGGCGGTGCACATATTTAAAAAAACTTAATAGAACTAATAAATGTTGTATAAAAAAAATCAAGACTACATACAAATATATATAAATGAGATACTTGATACATATATGAGATAAATAAACTTTTTTTTAAAAATCTAAGTCTTTTTCCTCGATCCACTGCTAAACTAATTTGATCCAGGTTATGAGGGTGTGTTAAATTTGGCAACTCTGAAAAACCTTGATAAATGTGACAAAATAATCTGACCTTGCTTTATTTCTATCGGAGTCGATTTCTACATAAATTAGTTTCTCAGGTTTTTTGTTAGATTCAAGCTAAAGTTTTTCTATAGACATCAATTGGATATTTCAGTAAATCACATTTTCATTATATTCATTAATTTAGTCTTTTTTTGTACATTTATCAGAATACAGAATAGAATAGGATTCCATACATTTCATCCATTTGCATGCATACATTTGCTACACTAAAAATTAATTATTATTTAGCAAAATATATTTAGTTTTCTGTATGAAGGTTAGCTAGCTCCCCGTTGAGAATTTCCTAATACCACTCGTTAAAAGTGCTCCTGTCTAGAATCCACCTTCAAGCCGAGAACAAAGCCGGGTAAAGATAGATGCATCTTTCTTTAGCAGAGACTACCATTTGTCATCTCAAGCATACTATATCTATCTTGTTAATACGTAGGTTAATACGTAGGTAACGTAGGTTGTGATGTTTAGTTAGTTAAACAGTCAATAATCGTAGTTTTGTTCTGTCGAGGTGTCTCTTTATAAAGAGATCACAAAGAGATTGACTTGTTGGTTTTACGCATTTTTTCAGTCATTGGTGAACAGTTTGCTTAACTCTTAATTAATGTAAAAAAGGTTTGCTTGAACTCTTTAAATATTGATTTGTTCCTATATATTTTTAAATGCGTTATAGATATTTCGTTATCTAAGACGCTAAGCTAAAAACAAATTTTTTAATCGTTTAAGAGTATATTATTAAGTATTCCATAGGTGATTTTGAATATTTTAAACTCTGTAAAATGGTACTTTCTTTCTGGGCTGATAGATTTGCAGAAGTACACTTTATATGTTATAAAAAAAATCACTTGTAATTGAGCAAAACCTTAACAGGCAATAATAATATAGCATAAAATATAAAATTATAATATAGTAATTTAATATAATATAATAATATAATATAATAATATAATATAATAATATAATATAATAATTTAATATAATAATATAGTATAACATTTGCTCTATTTTTTTACTATTTATTTTCACTATATTACTATTACTAAAATAATGTAATAGTATATGTATCTTTATATATGTATAAAAAGTCTGTCTTAGATATGTTGGCTGTATGCTAACCTTCGTCGATTTTTAATTATATATTCGATATTAACTGGTCTGGTATATATGTAGTTCTGCTAAGAGAATTTATGCTGTTGTAAACACAAATTTTTAACACTCATGTGAAATTATATCCAAATTCAATTAATTAATTCATAGTCTTTTAATTTAGTATTTTAATGAATTATTGAGAATCTTCTCAGAATCTTCTCACTTCTCAGTTTCACTTTATAGCTTTTAAAGCATTTAATATTATATTATTTTAATATAAATTTGAAGTCTAAAACACGGTGATCTGACAGTATACTTAGCTTAGCTTTGAGGTTTGAGTTAATTAGTTAAATTAAGTTACTATAATTAATTAATTAATTAAAAATCTAGAAGTTTTAGTAATATCTTATGGATACATTAAAAATTTATAAAGTTTAGTTTTGAGTGTTAGTTTTGAGGTTTGAGTTAATTAGTTAAATTAACTTACTATAATTAATTAATTAATTTAAAATCTAGAAGTTTTAGTAATATTTTATGGATACATTAAAAATTTATAAAGTTGAAAGCTTTTAAATATTTTAAGGATACTTAAGCATTTGCAAACTACTTTGAAAGCTCAGTATACGAATTACACGACTAATGGAAGAACGCGCTATACGAAATTTCTATTTTCATCGAATTGTTCGTTACTTTGTTATATTAGAAATAATAAAATTTATATAAAAAGATTCGTATATTTAATAGATATTCTTTTCATTTTCAGGGCGATGGAAATACATCGTTTTTGCGTGCTGCCAGAGCTGGAAACTTGGAAAGAGTACTCGAACACTTAAAAAATAATATTGACATAAACACTAGCAATGCAGTAAGTATAAAATAAAAATATCGATTTTTTGCTTTGATATGTTATAAAAGGCATTACCCTAATAAGTTATAAAATGTAGAATAAATAACATACAAAGTAAATGAAAGTTACCAACATGCAAAAGTTATTAATTGCTTTATGTCTTTTTTAAATAATTTTAGAATGGCTTGAATGCATTGCATTTGGCTTCCAAAGATGGTCACATACATGTTGTATCAGAACTTTTGCGTCGTGGTGCAATCGTTGACAGTGCCACAAAAAAAGGTAACACAGCATTGCATATTGCATCGCTCGCTGGACAGGAGGAGGTGGTGAAACTATTATTAGAACACCATGCATCAGTAAATGTTCAATCACAAAATGGATTTACGCCACTATACATGGCCGCTCAAGAGAATCACGATTCAGTAGTTAAATTGCTTTTATCCAATGGTGCTAATCAAAGTTTAGCAACAGAGGATGGCTTCACACCATTGGCTGTAGCAATGCAGCAAGGACATGATAAAGTCGTTGCTGTATTATTAGAGAGTGATACACGTGGTAAAGTACGTCTGCCAGCTCTGCACATAGCAGCAAAAAAGGATGATGTAAAAGCTGCGACTCTATTATTAGATGTATGTACTGTACTGTATAATGTTTATTATGTGTATTATAAGATTTAAAATATTACTTTTCTTTTTTATAGAATGATCACAATCCCGACGTTACTTCCAAATCTGGCTTTACACCATTGCATATTGCCTCACATTATGGCAATCAAAATATAGCTAATTTATTAATACAAAAAGGTGCAGATGTTAATTATTCGGCTAAACATAATATCAGTCCATTGCATGTCGCTGCGAAATGGGGCAAGACTAACATGGTTTCACTTTTATTGGAAAAGGGTGCGAACATAGAGGCAAAAACTCGTGATGGTTTGACACCACTGCATTGTGCTGCACGTTCTGGACACGAACAAGTTGTTGATATGCTACTCGAACGTGGTGCGCCAATAAGTGCTAAAACTAAGAACGGTTTGGCACCATTGCACATGGCAGCACAAGGCGAGCATGTAGATGCCGCACGTATTTTACTCTATCATCGTGCTCCTGTCGATGAAGTGACTGTGGATTATTTAACAGCATTGCACGTTGCTGCACATTGTGGTCATGTGCGCGTCGCTAAATTACTTTTAGATCGAAATGCTGATGCAAATGCACGTGCTTTAAATGGCTTTACACCATTGCATATTGCCTGTAAGAAGAATCGCATTAAAGTTGTTGAATTGTTATTGCGACACGGTGCTAGTATAAGTGCAACTACTGAAAGTGGTTTAACGCCTTTACACGTTGCAGCATTTATGGGCTGCATGAATATTGTCATATATTTACTACAACATGATGCTAGTCCTGATGTACCCACAGTACGTGGTGAAACACCATTGCATTTGGCTGCCAGAGCCAATCAGGTAAATGCTACATAAATATTTTTCTATGTTCTATGTTTTATCTTTTGTGTAACTTTTTGCTTTTTTAGACTGATATTATACGCATTTTATTGCGCAACGGTGCACAGGTTGATGCACGAGCACGTGAACAGCAGACGCCATTGCATATTGCATCACGTTTAGGTAATGTTGACATTGTTATGCTTTTGCTACAACATGGTGCTCAAGTTGATGCAACTACCAAGGATATGTATACAGCTTTGCATATTGCTGCCAAGGAGGGACAGGATGAGGTAAAAGAATTAATAGCGAAAAAAATATTGGATCACATCGATACAGTGTATTTAATGCAATTATTTTGGATACGCCATCAGGAGTATTTCATTTAAATTTAAATTTATTATTTTATTTAAGATTTTTTATTTAATGTAATTTTTATATTTTATTATACATGACGTATTATTTTTTATATTTTCTATGTTTTTTTATAAACGAACGATTTTTCATAAGAATGGTTAATTTTTTGTTATATTAATTTTAAGATTATACATAGAAAGTACACATAAAGTATTTTGTTTAATTTTGTAAATTGATTGTAATGTGTTCATTTCTTAAATAATATTTTATTATGATTTATTTTTAATAAACAATTCATATTGTCTATTTAATAATCAAATGTTTTATTATTTTTTTCGATGTTTAGTTTTTATTGGTGGTTATTTTTTTACAGATTTTTTAATTTCTTAAAAGACTCTATAGCTAATAGTAGTAAATATCAGTTTAAATCAATATTATCACGATGTTTAATACTATGATTTTTTTTCGTTACTGTTATATAATTATCATGGGTTTTTTAACCAATAATTTTTATGATGAAAGTCTTCTGTGCTTAATGAATATTTTGTTAATTTTGTTTGAAATTTTAGTTTTCATTTTCTTTTTTTTAATTAAAAAAATAGTTTGCTAAATTTGATTTCAACGTCAGTAATGACGGTAGTGACTATTTTACTTAACAAACAGTAATGAATTGGTATTTGACAAAACTCGACACAGCTGTATGGGCAGCCAAAAATTCTATTAATTAAAAATAAAAATTTTTGTGGTTGCAATTCAGTACTGTTCGAAACCTCTATATAAATCGTTTACCTAATGTTGCTTGTACTCCAATAATTAGTACAATTGTTTCAATCATTTTTTAACCAATATTTTTATGATTAAAATCTTCTGTTAGTAATGTGTATTTTGTTAATTATGTTCGAAATTTCAGTTTATTTTCTTTTTATTTAAAATTATAATATAAATCGTTTACATAATATTGCCACTATTTAAATAAATAGTGCTGTAAATAACAACATATTTTTTACAATCATTATAATCAAGTGGCTAGAAAGATTTGCTGTTTATTATCTATTCAATACCCCTCGTTGCAATAAACATATTACATAGAAAATAAAATACATTAGAAACTAACTAAATGCCCATCGTGCATCTGTTTATTAAAAAAATAATATATAAATCTTGAAATCAAAAATTAAGTAGTGACTTCTATGTTATAGCAACAAATCATATACCTATTAATATTGTTCCTGTTGTCGCTCATCTGTTCAGTCTTAATATAACGAAATTTAGCGAAAGTGAGCTCTACTGAATCACGGCTCTGTTCCAATACAGTGGCGAAGTTCTTTCATCGCATCTAATTGCACTCAGCACCAACCACACCGTCATCATCCCTAGTTTCACACAATCCTTCTTCTTTAATACACACCTTATTCTTAACCTTTGTGTTCCTTTCACGTTTTCTGCTTTATAGGTTCCCACGCCTTTCAATAACTTGTTACAAAAAAAGTTTTATCAAAGCTATTTGACTAACTTTTTATATGTCAGTCTAAACTGTCTTTTATTCATCTTAAATTTTTTTTTTTAATATATATTTAACAATTTTACTATAAATTTTCAAATCTTGGACTTCGAGTCCAAGTGCGTTAGTTGTTGTTGTTGTAACCTGCTTTGAGGAGTGTTGAACGGCATTTTATCGTCGCTGGCGATGAGCTGTTCCGGGACGTAGACTCGACGGTTCTTGGAACCAAGTGAGTTAGTCAACAAGTTCAACTGCCACAATGACCTGTTCTAACCCAATTTTTTATAATGTACCTATAATGATATATATAATATAGGAAGTTATTTATCACTACTTTCGATGTAATATATAAACAAAATATTTTTATAAAATTTTATACAATTTTAATCAAATCTAAAACCTCTTTTTTATAGGTTGCTGCTGTGTTGATTGAGAATGGTGCAGCATTAGACGCTGCCACCAAAAAAGGTTTTACACCTCTACATCTAACAGCGAAATATGGTAATATTAAAGTTGCACAACTCCTGTTGCAAAAGGAGGCAGATGTTGATGCACAAGGCAAAAACGGTGTAACACCACTTCATGTTGCTTGTCATTATAATAATCAAAATGTAGCATTACTCTTACTCGAAAAAGGTGCTAGTCCACATGCTACAGCTAAAAATGGTCATACACCATTACATATTGCAGCACGTAAGAATCAAATGGATATTGCATCAACTTTACTGGAATATGGAGCTCAAGCAAATGCGGAAAGCAAAGCCGGTTTTACACCACTTCACTTAAGTTGCCAGGTTAAATATATAATTTTATTAGCTTTAAATAAATTTTATTCACTTAAAAATGTTATGTTTTATTGATACAGGAGGGCCACACTGATATTTCTAATTTACTTATCGAACATAGAGCTGGTGTAAATCATCCAGCTAAGAATGGTTTGACACCAATGCATTTATGTGCTCAAGAGGATAATGTAAATGTTGCTGAAATTTTGCAACGTAATGGCGCCAATATTGATATGGCCACTAAGGCTGGTTACACACCATTGCATGTAGCTTCCCATTTTGGACAAGCAAATATGGTACGATTTCTCTTACAACATGGTGCCAATGTCGACGCATCTACATCAATTGGCTATACACCATTACATCAGACTGCACAACAAGGACATTGTCATATTGTCAATTTGTTATTAGAACATAAGGCTAATGCAAATGCTCAGACTGTCAATGGACAAACACCCTTACATATAGCACGAAAATTGGGTTATATAAGTGTTTTGGATTCATTGAAATCAATAACAAATGAAGAGGATGCTTCAGCACAAATGGATGAAAAATATCGTGTTGTCGCTCCTGAGGCTATGCATGAGTCTTTTATGTCAGATTCAGAAGAAGAAGGAGGTAATTTATATCTGTAAAATATTAATAGTACTATGAATAGTTACAAATTATTATTCACAATAGTTTTTGCACTTTCATTTCTTTTTAAATTAATATTAACACAATACAAATTTATTTGATATGCAAAGAAATGCATTTTAACATAGAACACGATTTTCTGACTATACTTCATAAACACACTAGCCACTAGTCACAATTAATTTTTTATAAAGACCAAAATTAATAAAAATTTATTAAAAGCAAATTATATCTAAAAAAATAAAAAAAACTTAAATGTGTCACAGGTGACACAAACGTTTGGGATCCATGTTATGGCATTAAAGGTGACCGCCAGAATAAAGCTGATACCCACATTTATCTTCCGTATTACCAGGGCGAAAAACTATTTATGTCTAGTAAGTCTCAAAATTTGGGTTTTTCTGTTTGAATTTACATTTTCGTCGTCCTTATAAAGTGAGATGAAATCATTGTTTCAATGCATCAAATTGGATTTTCAAATTGGCAGTTTCATTAAAAAAACATTAAATTAATAAACAAATTTTCGCACTTTATGTGGATTTTTTTTGTTACTCAATATGGCTTCACTTTTTAAATGTTTATGTAACTAAAAAAATAATTTAAATGTTTAATAAATTTTATTTTAATATTCCTTTTACTTTAATTTTAATCTCAAATTAAAATAAGAAATCAATAAAATCCTACAATTCGGATAAAAATTTACAAATTTACAATGATTATAAATACATATATAAAGTTGACATTTTTTATATAGAATATTAGTGAATTTAACCTTTTAGCTATACGATTATGTTTAAAAAGTGACTATTTTTGTATAGAACCTAGTCATGGTTAACCTGGCAGTTATTTGTTTTACTTTCATATATTATATATTATATGCCTTTAAGAAGGCAATTCTTAAAAAAATTTAAATCCGTAGTGCATGAAAGAATTAACCTAAAATTTAAAACAAAGAAGGCAGCGTAATTAGAGACTTATTAAAGGAAGAATCCTGAAAGCTAGTTTAAATTTTATTTGAAAAAAAATAAATGAAAGAAATTAATTAAATCAATAAGGTCTGAAATATTTTGGGCTACTTTTGTATACGTCACTAATAGAATAAAGTGCACTCAAGCCATTGTGATGGGTATTATATATATATATGGTGGGACGTTGGGACAGCAAATGGCCCCACTGAAGTAAAGGATTAGTCGAAGTAGACCATGAAACGACTTGGGTCCTTTTTCGTCCTTCGATTCTCGGATGTTGTTATTGAGTTAAAGCTGGAGTGGCTTCCGTTCGCATAACTACATTTTTTGTTAATGCAAGCAGCTCATTTAGCTTGAGGTTTCCTGCCAAGTCGTCACCAACTCAATGGTGTCCCACGACAGTCTTCCTTCTACTTGCCAGTGCTGGACATTGGCACAATATATGCACCGCTGTCTCCTTTTCTTCTAAACATAGTCTGTAAGTGTCTTCCTCAGCAAGAGTTATCTTTTTGACGTGATAGTTGAAGTTACCATGTCCAGTAATTAGTGAGGTCAGCCAGCTTAGAGTGCTCCGCGAATAGCTAAGCACCTTTATCGCTTCTCTGGCCCACGGTTTTGATAACATGAGTTTGGTCTGTCTACAAGTGCTCAACTCTCTCCATCTATTAAAATGAAGTGTGATTATTCACTTATAGACATAGTCTGTCGTCATGCTGTACCCCAATGGTATTCTGGGCTCCGGGCCACAGAAATTATGGCTTGATCCTTGCTTTGCAAGTTCATCTGCCTTCTCGTTTTGCTCAATACCGATGTGTCCTTTAACCCACATGATCGTCACCTCATTGCCATGAGCACATTCCATGAGCTTCGTTACACATTCTTGTACTAAGCTGTTAGCTACCATATGTAGTGATGGGTTTTAATCAAAATATATTTTTATTGATCATATTTTCATATTGCTTGACCCATTTGTTAATATCATGTTCTACTTACCTAAAAATCAAAACAATAAGTTATCAATCACAAAGGCAGTTCAATCCTTCTATATATTATTTAAAAAGTAGTTGCCTCATCATTGGAATAATTTGAATTTTAAAATAAACATAATTTTTGAATATTTAATTTGATTTTAACGTCAAAATGACAGGAGTGACTATTTTTACTTTAATAAAAATTGTATTTAATAGAGAAGCTATATAAAGCTTGAATTTAATACATTAATTATTTATTATCTATATAAACAGTTGAGTTATAATAATGCATGTATTAAAGTTTCCTCCAAAGTTCATCACAATAAAAAATAGTTGTTTTGGTTCCTTAGAGATTCATTAGAGATTAGAGATTTTCAGTTATATAGGTATATAGAGTAGTATTGAGTGTTTCTCTACGTTATAAGATTTTTCTTTACAATTAAAAATCTTTTTGATATAACTGAGAGTGAAATGACTACAGTTTGAACAACGATCCATGAAAATATGTTTCTTTTACCGTTGATATTAAAAAGTTGTAAATTGAAAATCAAGTGTCACGATGGGCCTTATTCTACATGTGCTCATAGCAACACTTCCAAAACTATACGCAAACATCTTTATTCATGGTATTTTCAACCGCTCGAAAGGATCGTGGAAATATGTTGGTACATGAAGTCCATAAATGTATAGAGAGAGCTTATTGACAGTTTACCTATGGTTGTTATAAAAAAGATATGAATTGAAAACTAAGTGTCACATTTGGCTTTGCTCTACAGGTGCGTGGCTCATAGTGACGCTTCCAAAATTATTCTCAAATATCTTTATTCATGGTATTTCCAAGCACTCAAAATAATCGTGGACGTATGTTGATACATCTAGTCGATAGATTTATATAGAGATTTTTATTATCGAAAGTTTAGCTATATACATATATATAAAAAAGGAGTAAGGCTTTAACTATCTCATATAGGTTTATATTTTTTTTAATAATTGCGTATTTAATATAGGTAGTCGTGTTTTACATTAGTCAACAATAATTTTTTATTCAACCTGACTAACTGTTCAGAAGCGAAAAACTTTTTAAAGAACCATTTCTAATGTAGCAAATAAATTTTGTATCTTTTAATATAGTAATTATTATACACATGCATGATATACCCAAGTACAACTATAAAAATCCTTTTCACCTTCTTTTTCTTAGCGTGATCTTATTTTCTGTTCGGTTTCTTTGTGCGGTAGGCATATACAGGTCGCATGTCTCTATATTCTTTCTTTGTTTTTACTTATATAAATATAAAAGAATAGTCAGTTCTATTTATTTAAATATCGAATTACGATTCAAGCGATTGATAACCTTAAGCGATTGAAAATAAAAGAACTATAAAAAGCAGTGGAATAGTCTGGTTTGATATATCTTGTCGAACTGATCGTTAGTATATAGGTATATAGTTTATAAGCTATATGATAACACTTTATTGTATTATTATTGTGTTAAATAAATTTAAGAAACTTAATATGCTTTTTTAAAATATCTATTACGATTTTGTTTTATGAATCTTTGAAAAATAAATTAAGTTTGTTTTTTTAAAAATATTTTTAATTTGTTTAATTAAGACAATAATACAAAATTGTTGTATTAAAAATTACATAATTAATGGAATCAATAAAATCGGTCGGTAATTATAATACCCTCTATTTAAAAAGTATCAGGAAGTTGTAATTTAAACAGAAAAGGTTTAATTAAGTAAGAATATAATTAAATTATATTTAAAATTAGACGAAGGGCTAATCGAAATTTGTAAAATAAGGAATTGAACTAATTTTGATGCGTTGTTTGATTGATTAATTTGATTTGATGGATTCAGCGTCACATTCTGTAGATTGTTTTGACATTCACATATCTTTATCTTCTCATCTGTAATGATATATTATATGAGTTTGAGTTAAAAAAAATATTCTCTTTATGGCTCACTCAAAAAACCAGTGTGAAGAAACTTATCTCCAGACAGTATAAAATATGCAAATTATTTATAGTGGCACTAACTTCAGGAACACTCTTTTATTTTTAGTTTATCTCAAGGGCAAGTCCTTTAAATAATGAATTCCTGATATTTTTAGTAAATGTATTAATATCCATAACATAGAACAAAATCGTGATTAGGATAATATATATTGAAGTTAAATTTAGTGATTTTAGATTTGTAGAACTCTATATACCACTAAATTTATTTCTTAATGCATTATAATTATTTAAATACTAACTATTTTAATTTTTTATTTTTATGACAGAAAAAACAATGTAAATAAAAAACAATTTATTATATATTATATATAGTTACTTCACAAATGTTAAGTTCTTGTTGTAAATATATATACTGTTTTTTATATCACTGCTGCTTTTGTGATACAATATATAATTGTTTTAAACTTCAAGAGGGTTTTAATGGCGGTCACATTTTATACATGAAACATATGTATTCTTTTAATAAATTTTGAACATGGACCTGAATGAAATATTACTTAAATTACTTAAATATGATTTAAAACAATAAATGTTTAATCAATTTTTAATTAGTAATTTTTTTGTGTATATGCTTACTATTGGAATGCCTTTATAAGCTAATATAACTTATTAAATTTCCTTTAACATTATCAAAATTAATAAAATAATTAATTATTAATATAAGTATTCATAATCATGCTATATATCATTAAATTTGGGCATTTATAAAATTGCATGCATACTACCTTCAAATTTGTTTAATAAAAAAACAATTCATTTGCATTTTTTTTTAATTTCAAATATTGCACCGCGTGCCTATCACCTTTACAAAATCTACTAATCTGAAATTGAATCGAAATTGTACAAAATTTGGAATGGTATGCGTTTACACCTACACAATAACAAAAAAATATCAGGCGAAGATAACATGCTTTCCGACCAACCCTATCGCTATTTGACTGTTGATGAAATGAAATCTCTAGGAGATGATTCGCTGCCAATTGATGTGACCCGTGATGAACGTATCGATTCCAATCGTATGGCACAAAGTGCTGAATATGCCGGAGGTGTTTTAGGGCAACAGCAACCAATTGCTGAAGAAATAATAAGTCCACATAAAGTTCAAGTACATGGCGCTGGTAAAACAACTGTAGATGGTGTTTTCATGGGTAACGGATTGCATGAAGAACAGCCACATATAGGGTAAGTTGAAAATATTCCGATTAAATAATATTTTAATTTATTAATAATATTGTCTTAATACAGGCGCAAGCTTTCTTGGAAGAGGTAAGTTAAATAAAAATTGTATTTTTCATGTACTTTTTGATAAAATTGATTCTTTCTTTTTCTTAAATTAGCTTTTTGGTATCTTTTCTGGTTGATGCACGAGGTGGTGCTATGCGTGGTTGTCGTCATAGTGGCGTACGCATGATTGTACCTTCACGTTCGACATGCCAACCTACGCGTGTAACTTGTCGTTATGTTAAACCACAACGCACAATGCATCCACCACAATTAATGGAAGGTGAAGCTTTGGCGAGTCGTGTGCTCGAATTGGGTCCAGTTTCTACTAAATTTATTGGACCTGTTGTCATGGAAGTACCACACTTTGCTTCATTACGTGGCAAAGAGCGTGAAATAGTTATACTTCGTTCAGATAATGGTGAAACTTGGCGTGAGCATACAATTGAAAACTCAGAAGAAATAATACATGATGTAATGCAACAATGCTTTGAACCAGAAGGTATATAATTTTCTAAAATAATTTTTATACAATTAAATTTAGTGGCGTACATATTTTTAATAAAATAAATTTTTATAGAAATTGCCCAATTGGAAGAACAAGGTGGTAATCATGTTTGTCGTTTCGTTACTTACGATTTTCCACAATATTTCGCTGTCGTCTCTCGTATACGGCAAGAGGTGCATGCAATTGGACCAGAGGGTGGTATGGTTTCCAGTACAGTAGTACCACAAGTGCAGGCCGTTTTCCCACAAGGTGCACTCACCAAAAAGATAAAAGTTGGCTTACAGGTAAATCTATTTAAACCACGCAAAGGCGTTGCGCCAGAAAAACTACGTAAAATAAGTGTTAATCATGTACCAAAAAAGAAGCGCTTCTCGCTTATTTGGTAAATATTTTAGAAGCACTAATCAAATATAAAAAAGTTGAACATTAACGATATCTAAATGATAGTTAAGTATACATAGGGCTTCATATATATTAAGAAAGCGTACATATATCAAAATAACTTATCAGTAAACTAAAAATAGTATATATACAGAACACAACTTTTACATAAGCATTTATATAAATTATAACTAAATTTATATACCTATAAGTATTTTTTTATACTTATAATTTTGTATTGTATGCAATATACAACACAAAAACAGTAATTATTATCCGTGACAAATCATATGCATTTATTAAAATATGTCATTTGATTGTATAATGCCAATATATTGTGTATTGCTTTGGTAATTCATTGTTGGCAAAAAAAATATTATCAAGTCATACTATTTCTCCAACAAGTCTACTAATATTTTATAAACCAATTTTGTCCCTTCAAAATATGATTATTTTTATCGTTGATTATCCAAAAAAAAATTTACTAAAAAATAATCAATGATTAAACAAGAAAAATTATACGTAAAAATATAATAATGATTAATGATCGAATAAGATTATCATTAATTATTCAAAAATATTTAGTTGATAATAATTAATGTTAAATTACCAAAAAAGAAATTATATTTAAAAATATAAAATGATAAATTGAATAAGAGCATTAAGCTTTTAACAAACGTCAGTTTTGAAAGAGATATATATTGAAGTAACTACTTGACTTATTTAAAGAAAAATTAACCCATTTAACTGAATATGTTAGTAATTTTTATGATGGGCTTAATATGGGTATAAACGTTCACATTACTATTATATTCAATAAATTTATTCAAATTTTTATTTACTTATTTTTTCAAAGTATTATATTTTCCTCTTTAAGCCTATTTAAGTTGGTTTAAATGAATATAAATAAATAATTTGCTTATAAGCAAAATAATTTAATAAACGATAAAAATATTCTAACACACGAATATTAATAAATCTTTTCGTATTTCATAGAAATCAGTGAAATTTATAAATTTTGAAATATATTTCAATAAGTTTTAAATATTAATTTTATAATATATACAATATTTAATATGCATAAATGTAGTTGGTAATATTATGAATCTGAAAGCACAAATAGGTTTTTGAAAATGAATAAAAAAAATATTAAAAAAATATTAATAATAATTGTGCAATGCAAACAAACAAAAAAAAGAAAATATAATGTATATTTAATATATTAATTTTAGTTCTCACTAACAGAATTTAGTACGGTATTTCTGGTATTAGTACGTTCATTCTTTATTTCTTAAATAATTTTTAATTATAAAAATATTTAAATTATATATGCACATATATATTAAATATATATAAGTTATGTTTAAATTTAATATTATCTAATATTATTTAATATTTAATATATGTATATCTATGTATGTATATATGTGTATATATATACATATATATAATATATACTTATTTATGAATAATTATTATACCTTTGATAACTTAAAAAAGCTATTTAATGTAATACACTATATTTGTATTATATATTAAACATTTTTTTGATATCTTACAATAAAAAAGCTATATTTGTAGTTATATATGTATATGTATATGATACTTTTCAAAGTACTTTTTAATTAAAGAATTTTTGTATAAACTCTTCCAAAATTAAGAATTGAGAAAGAACAACACCATTTTTTTAAAACACATTTCGAATACAATTTTTGAATTTTACAATTATAATTATTTATTTCAAGAAATAAAAATTTATAATAATATAATATTTTTAATTTAATAAAGTAATAAGAAATGATATTAATATTTTTATGTGTTTACAAAACTATTTTTTATAAAAATAATTTCTAAAGTTTAAGTTTAAATATTTGTTGTATCGAGGTCACTCAAATTTTGTATATTTTTCATATATGGGCTGATTGACAATATTAACCACAAAAATGTTAATAATAAATTTATATTATTAAAGTGGATCAATAAACCAAATATTATTACAATATATATAAATAATATACTCTCAATATTACTTAAAAATTTATATAAATAATTTACACAATATATAAAGTTCGCTTTTTAAAGACAGTAAATATATGGTTTTTAAATGTAATTATATTAAAAAAAATATAATGATCATAAAAATTTAATTAATCGTAGATTGTTATTATTTTTTTAAACAATAATATTAGTTAAGCAGTTTTTAACTGCTTAAATTAATGAACTTTATTGTGTGATTATTAAGTATATCAGAGGTTTGTATTGGCAATTTTTAATTTTTATTCATGCATATTTAATCTGAAAAAGTATTGCAATTCAAAACTAATGTATTTTGAGTTGATACTTTTAATTCTTTTTATAAAAAAATTTAATAATTAAACTATACATACATATATTTATAATTTTTAAAATTAATAATGACAAACAATTTTTAAAAGAGAACAAATAATTTTTATTTAAATGAATTTTTTGGCTGATAATACAGTTATTGTGATTGTGGCAAATACCATATATATGAGCTGTGGCCTTTAGAAATTTTTATTGGCTATATATAAAATAGTCCATATATATTTTTTGAAATTCTAAATAGTGTGATTTATCACTCTATTATGGAGAAAACAGTTTTCTCGATTTTGGTAAAAATTGTTTTTTATATTTTTGTATTTAAATATTTGGTAAATTAAATAGTTAAATTTTTTTCGCTTTTAAATGTGCAATAACTCAAATATTATTTCCAAATTATTGAAAGTAAAAACTTTTTTCATAATATAACTTTTTATTTATATTCTATTAAAATCAATTTTTCTGAACTTAAATTTTGAATTGCAATTCTTTTTTAGATTGGTTGCTACAATTTTTTATTTGTCAATATTTTATTGAATAAAAAATTATAATATGATATGAATATGATGAACATTATATGTTGATTATATATGCACTTGTAATTTATTAAATTATATTTAAATGCTTTTAAAACATTAACTAAATCTGAAAAGTGTTTATAACGAGCTTAACTTAAAATATGTAATTTACTCGATTTAATTGAACAAATTTAAAATAAAAAATTCATATATCGTATATATATAAATTTATTTTCAATTTAAAAATATTTAAAAATTTTAAAAATTTTTATTGATGTAACGAGTTGTGTCTCTAATGACATTATTTTATACATAATGAATAATATTTTCTTAGAAATATAATTTTTTCGTTTTAAACAATTTTCATGCTAAGACGCATAAAACATAATAAATATTTTTAAAAATATAAAAATTATACTTTATTGATCAAGGATCACAAAAAAAAAATAAAATAAAATAAAGATGGAAAAAAAACTAAGTGAACTATAAACTTCTGTGTCCATTAACAATAATTATTAACTCTTTTTATAATTATTATTAACTATTATTATATATTATGATATGTATTAAAACTTTATTCTCTTATTAAACTTAATATAAAAATTGAGTAATACACTTAAAATTGAGTATAATTAT